GTGGAGAACACGGCTTGTGTCCAGGTTCTCACTAGCTGAGTCACCTTGAATCAATCACCCATCCATCTGGCTATCTACCTATCATTACCAAAAAGCACTGATAGAGGGCCTCCCACAAGCCACTGCTGTGCCAGGCAGTGAGGATGCCATGCGGAGAGGCGATCACAATGTGGGTCTCAGTCAGCGTGGTGACTACCCCCAGTGTGCGTGTGCGTGCCCATGTGTGTAAGAGGTGAGCAAAACATGATATTCTACCTCAGTTTCCACTCCAACCAACCCTGTACTGATTTCCTGTATGTAATTTGTGAGCCAGTGGTATAAGACAATCAGAAAACAAATTACCAAAAAAATGTCATTTTTCAGGGAGAAGAAAAGTCGCAGAAATGCAGCTTTGCTCATTTCCCTTCAGAACACCTAGTCCACCCATAGTTATGAAAATAACACCTCCCTTTCAAGCTCCTCGAAGACCAAGCCCCAGAGAACAGGTCCCAACACGCTCTCTCTGGGGAAAGTGTGTGCAGAGAGCCACAGCCTACTGGTCTACCAGGAGTCAATTAGATGCTGCTCCCCACACGTTCCCAGCCCCCTCCCATCCCTCCACACAGTGTGGAAATGCTTGGGCAGCTCAATTTTTCTATTTATTTATTTGGGGGGGTGACAATGCTTATTCAAAGGCCATGTCCTTTACTTTCTTCTATCATCAATTTCACCTCTCTGGAGAACCCAAATGTGATGGCCAATGCAAGTTGTCCAGCTCGGCAGGAGCTGCATGTTCATAGTTAAATGTATGGTGTCCAAAACATAATTTATGAAATTCTTAGACTCTGGCCCAGGATTCTTCACTGGTTACAAGGAGTTTTTTTTAAGTCATGTGAAATTTGCCAGGAAATCCATATCTCAGACTATCCCACAGCTAGACCCTGCTTGAAAATATACAGGCGGGATTAGGAGAACGAAACCTGTTAAGTGAGACCTCCTTGCTGACGAAATCCCCTCAGCTGCTAAAGTCCTTAATTTACCCATTCTTGTTGGTATTTTGTCTGTCGTTTGTTGTTATTATGTTATTATGTTGTTACCCTTTGTTGTTATGAGTAAAGAAGAAAAGACTCTTTCTTACTAAATATATTGCAGCGTTACCCTATAATTTGATGACAAGTAATTAACACTTCTTTGAGAAAACAAAAATTAACATGATCAGCAATTACTTTACCACACAATAATTCAAGGAGGTTTTCCTTGGCCTGTTCTAGATGTTCCTGGCTCTTTTACATCCAAGAATACATTCTTGCCTACTTATAGAATAAAATAAAATGACAAATTAAGAAGAGGACAACTGTCAAAAAGATGGGGAATATAAACCATCAGGTGGCCAAAATTAGAAGCAGATTTTATTATTACGTGTTACTGGGTCGTAGGTCATTACTTTCTGGTATATTTGTAACCAACATGTTTATTTTTAAAAAATAGGAGGAAATGTAATAAAAGTTAAAAGCTCACAAATAGAATATGTGCTAATTAATTTAAAACTGTGTTTACTAGGCTGTCATATGAAGGCTAGAGGAATGTTTGGAAGAACATTGCAGCACTCTTCTTAAAGAACAGTTCTGTGGGGGTCAGCCCGGTGGCACAGTGGTTAAGTTCGCACACTGTGGTTCTGCGGCCTGGGGTTCACGGGTTCGGATCCCGGGCACGGACATACACACTGCTCATCAAGCCATGCTGTGGCGGCATCCCACATACAAAATTTAGGTAGATGGTCACAGATGTTAGCTCAAGCCCAATCTTCCTCAAACAATAAGAGGAGGATTGGCAACAGGTGTTAGCTCAGGGGCACTCTTCCTCACCAAAAAAAAGAACAGATCTGTGAATCCTATGCTCCTACGCTCCAGCGTCGGCACAGAAAACCCACCATGACACACTTGCCTTGACGTGTTTACAAAACCCAGGAGGTCAGATGCCCACTATGGAATACAGTGTCCAAATAAAGTGGAGCCCTAAGAAGGAACATAGAAAAGGCTAATCTGGCAAAGAAATCTTATTTTAACCAATTCAAAGATTTTAAATCAGGTATTACAAACTCAAAAGATGTAACAGTCTAAAGGGTTTTTGCTTGATATTTGCTTTGGGGTCTTTGTTTGTTTGTTTGTTTGTTTTTGGTAAGGAAGGTTAGCCCTGAGCTAACACCTGTTGCCAATCTTCCTCTTTTTGCTTGAGGAAGACCAGCCCTGAGCCACTATCTGTGCCCATCTTCCTCTATTTCGTACGTGGGTCACTGCCACAGCATGGCTTGATGAGTGGTATGTCGGTCCACGCCCAGGATCTGAACCTGTGAACCCTGGGTGCCAAAGCGGAGCACGGGAATTTAACCACTATGCCACCCTGTTTTGTTTTTAATGAGAATCATTAGTAGGGTAAGAAGAAAGTGAGATGCTTAACAATCCTATGAGGCACATCTTAAGTAGCCCTCAAAAGCCGATTCATGCAGTAGTTGCTTGAAAACCAATCTCGCTATTTGGAGATCTGTTTATTTCCTTAAAGAAAAATAAAAGACAACTACTGAGCACCAAGCAAATCCTCAGAGTAAAGCATTCTGGATATGTTGTCCACGACATGCCCCTTGCCTCTGCCTACATGAACTGCACCTGAGCAGAATCTGAGAAAACAACTTTTTACTTTTCATAACATTCTTATCCCCAGAGAATGGAGGTAATTAGGTACCTAGAGGGATTTGCCCTAAAAAAAATAATAAAATGGCCAGAATGGACTAGGAAGGCTACTGTTTCTGTGCAAAATCAATGAAAGTTTATGAGAGCTGAACAGATGTAAGAATAAGAACTCACACTTATATTATGTGTATTTCAAGCGAGTTCTCAGGGCTTTATGCAATCTAATTCTTGGATCCCCACAACAATCTCACTGGGTAGATACTATTATTGTCCCCATTTTATCCATAAGCAACAAAGGCACAGAAAGGTTAAGTAACTTGCCCAAGGTCACCCAGCAAGAAAGTAGCAGAGCCAGGATTTGATCCCAGACCCACTGGCTCTAATGTCTGTGCTATTGATCACCACAGTATGCTCTCTCATGCAGGCGGCCACCCATTCAAAGCTTCATCCCATTCCAGACCTGTGCTCCACATCGGAAATATAAGATGAATTTCACACAGTCAAGGGAAGAGAGAAAGCATGCAGAGTGTGTGAGTGGAGCTTCAGCAGAGGGACATCCAACCCAGACTGGGGTTGGAAAAGGCTCCCCAGAGGAGATGATGCCCCTGCTGAATCTTGCACACGTGGTAGATAACCAGGCAGGGGGCAGGGAGAGGAGCGAGGGGGAAGAAACTCGATTCAGGCAGAGAGTATAGCACTTAAAAAATTTCAAGACAGGAAACAATGTGGTTCTCTCAAGGGACAGTAAGTAGTTCACTACGCTGGCGTAGCAGTACCATGGGTGACAAAGTGTGGGGACACCGAGGCAATACCAAGGAGGCAGGAATAACACCATGAAGAGTCTTGTGACCTGGTTAAGGAATGTGGATTAATCTGAAATTCTGCAATAAACAACTGAAGAATTTTACACTACGAAGCAAAACAATCAGATCTCTTTTTCCTACCTCACTTGCTATTAGGAAGGGAGTAGATGAGAGAGAGCTGAGAATGGAAGCAGAGAGACTAGTTAAGAAGCTATGTTTCAAAACTGCAACAAGAGGCTGGAATCATGTAGCCATGCACACAGAGCAATGGGAAATTTCCTAAACCAAGGAGCAGACTGGGGGCACACACAGCATCGCTGTGCTCAGCTTTCTCTCTCCCTTATCTCCCCTGCAGACTTCCAGTTCGCAGTGACCCTCCTGGGGGTCGTATCCCCAGGTTATGTCCCAACACATAATCTTAAAATGTCTCAGGGTCTTAAAAATTGCTCAGAACAGCACCTTTTCACCAGCGAAGAAATGCGTGCCCTTTCCTCTCTAACTCCTTTGCCACCCAAACAATTCTTGAAATTCTGAGGTTAATCACTTTGGGAACATTTCGTTTTTGCTTATTAGAATTTGCTTACATTTCAGTCAAGGAGGTTTAGGTTATAACTGGCTTCTATAAGCCTGCAAGTATTTTGGAAGGATTATGATTCAACATGCAATGCACATTCTTGACCTTATTATCTGCTGTTTTCCCGATCTGGCCAAAGGTCTTCGGAAAGGGCCTTTTTTAACAAAGATCCTTGTGTGAGCTGCTGCTGGACCTTGTCCCTTATTTTTCATGCCTTGTAGAAACACCTATTTAAACTCAATACTTCCTCAGTCATGATTCCACAGATTCTTTAACAAAATCATTGCTCTCTTCCCATTTGAAGTAAGATTGAAAATAGGACATCAAGGCAGATAATGTTCAAGATACCAGCATTCTGTATTCTTCCAAAATAAATGTTAAAATCTTCACTAAATATTATAATATTTAAATAAACTTCCACTTTCCTCCCAAACATATCGAGTCTACCAAAATAGGATACGTTTTTGGAGCTGAAAACATTGGCCAACTCTGGGCCTTGGGGATTCGAGTCCCAGGGACATTGCTCACATTACAACCTACCTGTTTGCGTTTTTTCACTTCAAGTATTAGCGCTTCCTTTGGCAGAAATTGCTCTGAACATCAATAGGGCGTGTCGCTTTTTGGTTTTTTTTAAAGTTCATGCTTTAATAACTTCCTGGCTAGAGGGGCCAGTTAGGATTTTCAGGACAAAGGACAGTGGAATGCTGGCCACCCACCCCCCCCACATCCCCACTTTCCACCACCCCCACCCCAACTTCTTTGCTTCCAAACCGTCATACCCTCTCCAAAGCGCTCCTTTAACTCTTCTCCATGAAACCCAGGCTGTCCCACCTCCCTCCTGTGAATAGAAGTGACATCAGGACCCCAAGGGCACCGTCCCTGACTGTCTCGGATCTGAGAAGACCAAGGCTAAGGATGGGAGGGGGCGTCCTAAGAGTTAGGGGAAGCGAGCTTTACCTTCACGAAGAGGGTGATGTCGTGCTCCTGCCCCGGGGCCCCCTCCTCCGACGCCTCGCCGTCCTCCCCGCCACCGTTCACCCGCGCCGTCTCGTCGCCGCCCTCTGCGCTGCCCTCCTCCGCCAGGTGGTTGCTGAGCTCGGGCTCCGGCTCCGCGGACCCCTCCGGCGTGGCCGCCTCGCCATCCGCGCTGCCCTCGGGGGGCTCCTTCTCGCCCCGGGCTGCAGCATCCTCTCCTGGCCCCTCCGGGCCCCGCTCTCGCCTCTCCTCCTCTGCCTCCTCCATCTCCTCCTGGAGCCCACCCTGGTCCCCGTCCTCGCCGGCGTCTGCCCTCCCGTCCCCGGGGGGCGTTTCCTCCGACTCCGCTCCCTCCGGGGCCCCCGCCTCCTCCGCGGCCCCGGCCGCTGCACCCCGAGGCTCCGCCGCAAGCTCCCCGGGGCTGCACTCCTCGCTTTCCGCCGCTGCGGCCTCAATCGCCTCGGCCTGGGGCTGTGGGCTGCTGTCCCTTCCCTCCCGGGGCTCACCCTCAGCCCCGTGCGCCCTTCCCGCCCGCCCCTCGGCGTCCATCCTGTCCGGTACCGGCCCCTCGGCGTCCATGCTGTCCACCGGAGCTCCGGGCGCACTGCCTCCCGGCTCCTCCGGCCCGCGCTCCGCCTCCTCCTCCGCCTCTGGGGCCACGGGGTCCCCGGGCTCCCCCTGAGCCTCCTCCGGGCCCTCGCCCTGCGCGCCGCGCCCGGGGCTCGCCTCCGCCACCTGCTCCGCGCCGCTCGCTTCTTCCCCTCCCTGAGGGGCCTCGGTGCCCTCCGGGACACCCTCCTCGGCCTCTGCCTCGCCCTGCGCTCCCCTCGCGCCCCGCGTCTCGGCCCCCGGGTCACCTCCCGCGCCCGGCGCCAGCTCACCCGCGTGCTCTCCGTGCGGCCCCGCTCCCTCTCCCTCCTTCACCGCGGCCGTCGCGGCTGCGCCCGCCCGCTCGCCCCTCGGCGCCTCCGCGGCGCCCTCGCTGGCCTCCTCCCGCTCCTCCTTCGGGCCTGCGGCCCCCGGATCGCCTAGTCTCTCCCCGAGAAGCGCCGGACCCTCGGGCAGTCCCTGGGCACCCGGGGCGCCCCCTTCCGGCTCCGCGGCCTCGGCCATGGCCGCAGATCCCCGTCCTTGACCTGAGACCCTTCCTCGACGCTGCTGGGCGAGGGGCGGGTGCCTGGGGCCACTGCGCCCCCTCCGAGAGGACGCCGCGGTCCGGGCTCTGAAGGCGCCGCTCCGGGCTCTGAAGGCGCCGAGCCGTGCGCTGGACGCACAGGGCAAAATCGGCCCCAAGACGCTGCGCCCCTCCTCCCGGGTTTAAACTCTCTGGACTCTTCCTCCACCGCTAGTGCTTCTTCCCGCGTCTGCTCCCCACCTGAACCCTAATTCCGACCCGGATTCCCTTGAGGCGTGGGCCGCGGAGGTGCAGAGCGCGGCTGGAGAGGGCCGCTTCGCTCCTGCACCCTTTAAGGTGCCTGGCCAGCTGTCCTGCGGTTGACCAGAAGTCCTTGGTGCCAACTCCACCTGTCTGGGGCTTGGGCGGGGTTTGTACTCCCACCTTTCCCCTTGTTTGAATGGCTTGGGAGCCTGGCCAATGACAGCCTTTCTCATGGCCCTTGTGGATTTCAGTGAAAAGATCCCGGTTCCACCGGCCGCTTGGGTATTTTCTGCAACAGCCTCAAGTTCCAGAGGCAGTTAAATCACCCTCGGAACACACAGCCCGATACCCAAACGCCTAATCTCCACTTCCCCAGGAGTCAAGCTTTAAGCTGAGCTGGTACCCAACTGAAGATGTCCACGTGGCGCCTCAGTGTTCAGGAGCCAGTTGGTAAATCCTGGAAGAAAGAAGAAGACGCCACATTGCCACCTTCCAATTTCTGCAGGGCCCTCCTGAGAAGTTCCAGAGGCCCCGATTTAGAAGCAAATGGAGCCAGTTGAGCTGCTCTGACCAGAAATGGGCTCTGTTGTGCATGAGAGGCTCCCCTCTCCTAGCATGACAAGCACAGGGGGTCCTGCGCTGGGAGAAGGTTACATTCTTCATCTCCGTTACATCCTTCATCTCCCTGGTCCCTGAAGACTCTAAGAGTCTGTTTATTTTACGAATTCTCCTAGATTTTCTAAAACCATACCCAATGCTTCAGCCTCAAAATTGTATGTTAATGGCTTGGGGAGCTGAGGATGGGGAGATGAAAATACAAGATTTGAAGGAGGGGAGCTGTGGGCTTCACTGGGTTAGGAATCTCCTAAGATTGCAAACCAGACACCTTCTCCCTAAAAAAGGAAGTTGTGATGAAAATGATGTAGTAAGTTTGTCAGGAGCTAGGCTAGATCTTGTGAGTTACATTGAGGAACTGGTCGCCCAGAATGGCACAGTCTAAATGTGGTGGAGCGGTTATCCCTACTCAAGACTGTTTTGAGTTGTCAGCCTCTTAATGGCTTTGATACTGCCCTGAGACACATTAGCAGATCAGGACCACAGAGGACTCTGTTATCACTAAAAGATCAGGGGCATCTTTGATGTGGCTTGGAGTCACATATTTGGCCCATCACCAGGATGTCTCCTAATTCCCATGGGTGACAGAAACAGGAGCCCAGTGTCACTGGATTCATGCTGCCTTTCTCCAAGGTTGTGCCCTCTCTGGGAAGGAACAGGCCAGAAGCTTCGCCATCACAAAGCAGCATCTATTCAAAGCATGGCACTCACACACACGAGCTAGACAGACACATGGACACAGATCCTGCTCTGCAGAAGCTCCGGGCACCTAGAAAAGGAATCCTGCGGCATTCACAAGGCAAGAAAAGAGTCATCAGCCTTATTTCTTAAGGAAGGATGAAGCCAGGAAGGGTGAAAGCAGCACATTCAGCCCCAAATAGCAAACACAGCACAGAATTACAGTCCTTTATGCAAACCCCATGAAGCCAGATGTGTTTCAGAAAACAGAATTCTTAGAAAGATGACTGAGTGCTTATAGTATATATTACATAACACTGCCCACCAACCTGTGTTCAAACACATTAACATTCCTGCAGTGACACAGATGAACATTCCCATTAGGTGGGATATGTAAAAACTATACATAGTTTCAGGACCCCCAGTTCAAGTGCACCACCAAATGAGTTCTGATCAGTCTGGTTTTGCTTCCAGATGAGTTCCCCAAAAAGCTTGCCATTTTTGGAGACTTTTGGATTTCAGAATGTATACAATGGATTGTGGTCCTGTGACCCATGGAAGGGCTCTGGGTATATTGCACTGCTTGGAAACATCCGAGATTACTTATGTCTGTAAGTTTGCTCTTAATAACAAACTGTCTCCAATGCTCTGCTTTCACAAAGAACCAAATTAAAGGCACATACTTAAGTGAGTAATAATATTCCATAAACTTTAACTTAGGCAAAGTTGATAGAAATGTCCTGGTTATTGGAAAGTTGGCATCTCTGGAAAAACCTCCTATTGAATCGAGCCAAGAGATGATCGGCTAATGAATGTAGACTCCATAGATTTGACTGGCTGGCTGAGAGCTGGCCCCCGTAGTGTCCTTGTGGAAAGACAACACTAATAGAGACTCTGTCCTGGCAGCTGATCCCATGTGTCACACAAGGCTGCTTTATTCTGTAGGATTCGGACTTATTCTTTTATACTGTTTGGATTCATTTACTCACATTGACCTTGGTTCTCTAAATAACATCATTGCATCTGTAGAATGCCGAATCTTTCACTTTTTAATGATAGTCTTAATAAGCAATTTTTAAAATTTTTATGTCATATAATTTTGCAAATTTCTTTGATTTTTCTATAAGTAAACAAAACATATTATTTTTAAATGAATACAGGCTCAATGCTGAAAATAACAAAGACAGAAAATAACAGAGCTCTTCACAATTTTTCTGGAATGCCATTACCCACGATAAACACTTTCTCCATTTTTGAGAGGGAGAGAAAGACCGCTCTAGACACTGAGCATACAGGAATGACCAAGACTGAGAAGGTCCTTCAGCCCTTCACATGGCTTTGGGGTGGAGCAAAAATAAATAAGTAAACAATTAACCAGATGACTTTGGATAATGTTAAGCTTTATGTAGACAGACACTCACGTGCATGCACACACTCATGCCCACACTGAAAAGATTAACCCCTTTCTCTCACAGCCCACATCCAACCTGCCAGTAAATCCTACTGTCCCTACTTTTTAGATTATATCCAGAATCCAACCTCTTCTCTCTACCCCCGTTGCTACCACACTGGTCCAAGCCCCCATCACCTCCTAACTAGTCCTCCTGCTTTTCACTGCCCTCCTACAGTCTATGTTCCACCCTACAGCCAGACGATCCTCCTTTTGAAAGCATGAGTCCACCATGCCTCTTTTATGCTTGAAACCTTTCAAAGCCTTCCTGCCTCACACCAAGAAAAAGTCAAGTCCTTACACGTCAAGTATGAGGTTCTATAAAATCAGGCACCCCAATCTCTCTCTGGCCTCATTGGCTCCTAACACGCCAGACTCTGCTGTTCCTAGAACTTGCTGGGCGTTCCTCTGCCTGGATGTTGTCTGTATCCTCGTAGCTCACACCTTACCTTATTGAGGTCTTTCATAAGCTATTTTGTCTAAGCACTCTATTCTATTTTATTATTTTATTTTATTTTTGTGGTGATAGCACTTAAAATCTACCCTCTCGGCAATACACAATACAATATTGTGAACTACAGTCACATTATTGTACATTAGATCTCCAGAACTTATTCATCTTGCGTAACTGCAACTTTGTACCCTTGATCAACACCTCCCCATTTCCCCCCTCCCCCCAGCCCTTGATAACCACCATTCTACTCTCTGTTTCTACGAGTTCAACTATTTTTAGATTTCACATATAAGTGAGATCACGCAGTAATTGTCTTTCTGCATCTGGCTTATTTCACTTAGTATATGCCACCCAGCTTCATCCATGTTATCACAAATGGCAGGATTTCCTTCTTTTTTAAGGTTGAATAATATTCCATTGTATTTCTTTATCCATTCATCCATCAAAGGACATTTAGGCTGTTTCCACATCTTGACCATTGTGGGTAATGCTGCCACAAACATGGATAAGCACCCTATTGAAAACACACTCCTACTCTGTCACCTTTTTCTGCCTTATTTTTCCCCAAAGTTGTTATCTCCATATGACATCTAATATATTTAATATATATTTACTTATGCTCTGTCTCCCCTGCCCGCTCCCCCCCTAGGGTGGTAGTTCTGTGAAGCCAGGGGGTTTTGCTTGTTACTGCCTGGAACAAGACTGGGCATGTAGGAGAAGCTCAATAAATATTTTCTGAATGAATGAATACATGCATGCTTTCATATACTTATGTATCAACCTGAACCAGTTTTCAAAAATACGGTTCTTAGTTTTATTCACAGGGAGACAAGCTAATATCGCAAGAAACACTGTTCATCGAATTTTCTACTGACTTTGGGGAATACTTGAGCAAATACTTGTAATTATTAGCAAAGGCCAAGTCAGTTCATGTAAAGAACACGAAAGGAAATACCGAATAAACAGAGCTGTGAAGGTCGCTGTGAAGTCACGTAGAGATTTGCACATTGTTAACTCGGCAGCCAGCACCAGATTAGCTATTTAAATACCAAAGAGCGTTAAACAGAGGTGACATATTCAAGGATGGGAGGCAAGAGGCAAAAGTGCTGATAGTTAAGTAGCTTGTAGTAATCGGTTTTCCTACCGTATATTACGAGGAATCATGAAGCAGCGTAATTCAGGGATTACAAAGAAAACCTCAAGGGCTTATAAAGAAACAATGTAAAGGTTTATTGTTTTGGTTGTTTTTCCAGAATGAACGGACTCATTTCCACAGAGATCCTCTCTTTCTCTAGCAGGTCTCTGCCCCTTGCAGAAGAGCCTTTGGGACGATGATCTAGCAATAACATTCAGATCACAGGATGCACTGATGGCTGAACAAAAGTTCCTCTTGCACTGATGGCTCTTCCAACAGCTCTTCCTCTTCACCTAAGAATGGCCCCAGACCTGCCTTAATCTGCCTGGCTTTGCTCAGTTCCTTGTAAACGTATATTTCAGTTAGAGGAAGGCTATCACTGCAGAATAGACCTAACCTAGGAACCAGGGAATGAAGCATGATATAGCATCTTGCAAGTCGATAAGAACGTTACACAAACATGAACAACGCCGTGGTGAAATGGGGGGTGCTCAGGTCACATTGCGTGATTTAAATCCCACTTCGTCATGTATTAACTGTGTGATCTTGACTAAGCTTTTCATCTAGAACAGTGGGTGTTATAATAGGACCATTGTCATTGTGAGTTTTAAATCAGAGAATGGATGTATCATACTCAGCGCAGCACTTATTGTTAACGCGACGACCTCACTGTTAGTATTGTCCCAGAGGACAGAGTTATCAC